GAGAGAGGCGCGCGCGCGCGCGCGGGCGGGCGCCCCACATTTCTGTTTCTCTCGCGCCCGCCCCCGCCCCCCCCGAGAGAGAGAGAGGGAGGGGATGTGTTTCTGTTGAATGTGTGTGTGTAGGTTCGCGCGCGCGCCCCCTGTCCGGGGGTGCGCGGGAGTCTCTCTCGCGCGCGCGGGCGCCGCGGTCTCAATAAAAAAACACACAGAGAGAGAGAGAGAGAGAGAGAGAGAGAGAGAGAGAGAGAGAGAGAGAAAGAGGGAGAGAGAGAGAGAGAGAGAGAGAGAGAGAGAGAGAGAGAGAGAGAGAGAGAGAGAGAGACCACAGTGTTGGACCGCCGGACCCCTTTTTTTTTGTGTGGGTGAGTGCTCTTAGCTACTTCCTTTTCTCTCCACCTCCTCCTCGGTCTCTCTCTCTCAATATATCAACTCTCTGTCTCTAGCCGTACATGGTCGATTATCACCACCTCCGTACCTCGCCCATCACGGACATGCTTCACCCCGCAAAGTTTTTTTGGTTACACCGGTGCGATCGATCAACAGATTCTGTCCGTGGGACTAGACTAGCTCTCTGGGAAGAAATAGTCACTAGCCTCAAACAGTCGAGGACAAGAACGACAACAGGGCATCGACCTATCCACCCTCAGCAAGGACCGACTACAAGGCGGCAAGGAGGCCACGAAAAGGAACAAGATGAGGGTGCAAGCTGATATCTATTGTCGTGGCCTCCTCGCCGCCTTGTAGTTGATATATCAGCTTGCGCCCTACTCTCTTCTTGCATTTTCATCACCTCCTTGCGGCCTTGTAGGTGTGCTTCTTTCTGAGGGTGGAGAGGTCGAGTCCATTCCGAGTTGTCGTCATTCTTGTCCACCCACCATTGTTTGGGGCTATTAATAGCGACTTTACGAGACTTGCACAGACTCTGTTGAACGATCTCACTAGCGTGATGTGTACGCTGCTGTGCGGCGGCGGCGGTGCAGCAAAAACGCGGTTTATCTATCGCGAATCCGCCGCCGAAATCCGGGTGATGACTGTTTTCCAGTGGCCTTCGCGAGGGTAATATGTCTAAATATTTTTAGAAGAGGTTACGGGTTAGGATTAGTTAGGGTCACGAACCCCCCCCTCTCTATTTCACATATATTTCTTGCCATATTTCCCTAGCGAAGGCGGTCTGTATTTTGTTGCGCGACTTTGTCAAGACGTCTGCATGTGCGTGTTGTTTCGTGCTAGAACGGGGAGGTAGGCCCGGCTGACAGTTTATCGTAGTCGTTCGCGATTGGGCCGAAATGCTCTCCTAGATCTGCTTACCATTTGTTAAGAGCCCTGCCTTTTTGTTACGTGTCAATCAATGCCTGCCTGTCAACACGCAAGGTCTTGTCTCCCATTCATTCGTCTGTGATACGGTGGATAGTATGCTACACCAGGGTAACCAGAGCACGTCTCTATGTCCTTAGCAACACCGACCGAACCAAGCTCTCTCCCCCATGTGCGGGGGTAACAACCACCCACCACTCTTTTTGCCTCACCGCGTGGGCCTTCCTGCCCTGATTTGTGTGACGCACGCCCTTTAGGTGGCGTCTATTTACGTGAAGGACGCCCTCGCCGGCAGGGAGAGCCCGACCTGCATCCACGACCAAAACTCTCTCCGTGCATTAAAGGTAATGGGGGATGGGGTGTGTGTTGTTCACATAGGTACAACTTCCGAGGATTTAGGGATTGGAGGTGTAGCAGTATGTGCAAGAATGCTTATAGGTTCATGTTGAGAGGTTTTGGTTCACAAAGATACCGGAGTAAGTTAGACACAAATTCGAAAATTACGAACACCGACGTTCTTGCTCGACCCTCGTCCCTGTAGGTCACCAGCAAATGCATCGCTCGCTTTTGACAATCAGCGCCATCCTAGCAGCAGTTTTGAACACACGCTGCTGCGTCCGTCTTTTGTTTGTTGTCCTCTCTCTCTTTTCCTTTCTCTGTCTGTCTACCTGTCTGTCTCCCTCTCCCTCCCTCCCTCCCTCCCTCCCTCCCTCTTTCTCTCTCTCCCTCTCTCTCCCCCCTCGTCTCTCTCCCCCCTCTCCCTCTCCCGCTCCCGCTCTGTCTGGACACTTTGGGGGCCCCGCAGTTAGTCCGGAACAAGGCATGGAACCAGCTCTTGAACATATGCACCATCGCACACCTCATGCTGCCGATAGTGGAGATTCAGAGGTGTCTGCCTTGCATGGGCATGCAGAAGATACCCGAATCCCTCGATTCGAACTCTTTACACACAGGTATGTACTGTAGGTGACGTCTTTTTGCCTCTCGCTAGTTCGTTTCTCAGCATCTGTATTTGTATCTTCCTGTCTGCGTAGCCGCGCTTTATTCCTTTTCGTACGGTAGTGGTTCCTGTACAAAGCCGCATAGTGCCAAGGTATTTCGCCGGCCATAAACCGGGCACCCGACACTATTCAGAGCATGAGAGACACGTTGAATGTTCCATCTGTGCCACGTGATCACACCGGACTTTTACGGAACGACCGGCCTAATTTATACGATCCTTTGCCCTTTTCAGGGACCACTACTGTAGTATTCGTGTGCCGGACTCACTGTTAATAAGTTCTTGCTGCTGTGCTTGTCCGGGCTGAGCCATTTTTGCTTCCCCTGTTGGCATTTTCTTGCTATTACTTTGAAGAAGATCACATTATTCCATGTTGGCAGCAACGCACCCGCTCTGCTCCGCGGCACGAGAAGAAAATAACAACGCTAAATAGCAGCTCTTTTCCGTGTGAACACCCCCCTCTTTCAAGCCCTCCTCTCACCCTATACCTGAAGGGCATCTCGAGCAAGTTGTCCCGGAAAAAAATACTGCTGAGGGGCAACACGAGTACAACGCTTCATCGCAAGAGAGCTAGGAAATGGCCGGGTGCACAACCAGAACACTGCTATCCTCGCCTGTCCTCCTCCTTCTTCTTCGTCGTTTACCCGAGGGCTTTGGAAATGACGTGTGCAAAGCCAAAACAAGGCTGTTTCTCGCTCCCCTTCCTCCTGCGGCGTTTTTTCCCCGGCAAAAAAATGTGATGGTACGCACTTACGACTGAGTGGTGGTGGATGCCGTGAATTGCACAGGGTGGCGGCCGACCTTGCTGGGGTCGATGTGGCTGGAGTGCTTGCTGTGTCTCCTCTACGTCTACGACCTGTACAAGGTCGCGCTCGCCAGGTAGGTTTTGACACAGGCTTTGTCTTTCAAACGAGTTTTTTTTTGTCTCGGATACTAAAACGGCACTAGCCTGGCCTGGATGCTTGTACTTTGTGGTGCTGCAGTGCCTGGCACAGCGCTGACTCAGAGGCACGGAAATGCCGTCCCCTTTTGGAATCAAATCCAGGGGAATCGAGAAAGAGCCTCCCGAAATTTCCGCGACGTGTCTTTTTAGTCGTTGAATGCCTGCGGTGTTATTTCTCAGGCATATACCGTAGTCATCATGACCAAAGGCAGCCGAGGTTGCCCGACATTTCCGCGGTATGATTGTTAAAGTAGTAAAATGCCTGCGGCAATTGTTTCCTTGGAAATGCCGCAGTCGTCATTACTGAAGGAAGCCGAGTTTCCTCCGGCCTTGCGTTTCTCCACGCCACGGAGCATGCGAAAGCGGGACCGCGGGACTGTCGACTCTCCGGGAGATGCCCTTTCGTTGCATGCGCCGCATGTCTGACCTGACATCCCGCCCTGTCGTAGAGGAACAGGCGGAGGGGTTCAATCGTTCTGGGAAGCCGGGGGGTGGGTGGGGGTAGGTGTTTTTGTTGTGGTTGCGGCCATGGTGACGCCCGCGAGTGGCGAGGGAGACAAGAGGGGAGACAGGGATGAGTAGTGCCCCAAGTTTGACATCGTGCAGCTGAGCACATCACGGCGTGTCAACCACATGTTCTTTTATCATTTTCCTCCTCTCGTTCTCTGTGTGCCTGTGTGCCTGTGTGCCTGTCTCTGTCACTGTCTGTCTGTTTGTCTCTCCCCATCTCGCCGGACTTGGCAATAGCAACCACGTGCACAAGCGCTCGCACAGAGGCTACGGAAGCGA